ATAATACTGGGACTTCATTCTAACCCCAGTCAAAATGGCTATCATCCAGAAAACATCCAGAAATGATGGCAAGGATGCAGGGAAAAAGGAACCCTTATACTCTCTATTGATGCAAATTTAAATTAATTTAGCCACTAAGGACATCAATATGAAGGTTCCTCAAAAAGCTAAAAACAGAACTTCCATATGATCTTGTTATACCACTTTTCAGAATATATCTGAAGGAATGTGAGTTAATACACCATCAAAATACCTGCACACTCAGTTTTATTGCAGCACTATTCACAATAGCCAAGCAATGGAATCAGTCTAGATGCCCAATAACTGGTGAGTGGATAGAGGAAAAATGATACATATGCACAATTGAGTAGTTTTCCACCATAAAGAAGAATGACATTATGCTATTTGCATTAAAATGGATGGAACTGGAGATCATCATGTTGTGTGAGATAGGTCACGCTCAGAAAAATGGCTCACACTTGTTTTCTGACCAACAAGGGTCCTTTTCAGGAGGGATAGGGCTGATTGAAGAGGCTGGAAATGGGCCTCTTCAGGTACATGCCTGCCAGGCTGAGTCAGGGTCTGGGAGGAAAGGACCCCTTTGGCCTCTGCTCCTTCCTAGCACATCCCCAGGCTCCTCCCTCCCTATTTAGGCCTCTTCTGTCCATCACACTCCCTCCTTATCTCTGTGGTTTCCCTTCCTTTATCTCCTGCCCCAAGGATTCCCCTCTGCACACCCAGAACACATCCCTTGCTCCATGCCAGGCCCTGAAGTGGGCCCAGCTATCGGTCCCCTACTCCTGTACTAATTTATCACTGGCCAAGAAACCCTAATTGTCTTAAAATTAAAAACTTTCAAATGTAAAATTTATTAGAGGTACTTAAACTACTTTTGCTGAAAGGCACTGACTCCTTACTTGGCCCCCAAATTAGCTAAAAACAACAACAACAAAAGCATCGCAGCTCTCCATTTTGTATCTGTCTTTGTTCTGAGTCATTGGAATCAAGAAAGGACAAAAATAATCAGTAATATCTTCATGGCAAGGAACTGAAACTACACCCAACAGTAGACCCTTCTCAGGATGGACTACCCTACATGATAACAGCTCCAAAACCTTTCCCAAAAGAAGAACTAAAATAATGGTCAACCAGTACACACCTGATGATCTGTGACTGGGTCTGTTTAACTAAGCATAACTTTGTCCCTTGCCCTCAGTTATTTTGCCAATTTAATCCTGTAGCCCATGTCTGTACCCCAAGATCCTTTAAGAATATTTTCCATGCTGATAACCATTGGCCAAGGTGTATTTAACTACATGTGTCATTTTATCTCCCAAAGCATACATTCCTTTAAACAGGTTGTCACTCAAAACCATGTTGACCATGTACTCATGCTGCTTTTATGTCAACCAGTCCAGTATCGTTAGTGATGACATTAGAGATTTGAGACCATGCTGCCAATCTCTGATAACAAACAATGGAAAGCTCAAAGCAGTGATCTTCCTGGGCTAATTGGATGGCTTGGTACATTCCTTTACTGGAACCACTCATTTTTTTCCTCATTGTGACCTTTCCTCACTTAAACACTTTTTTGCTTTGTTTCCCAGAGGCTCCAGGCTTTCATCCAGGACACAACTGAAAAACAAATCAACTCAGTCATGTTCCTGCAACAGTCCCCCTAGAGCCATCTAGAGGTAGAAGATCCTGTCATTATCCCCTCCCTTTAAGACATCTCAATGACTCTTCTCAGTAGGAAGTAGCTAGACAAAATTTTATCATCCCTCTTCTAAAAACAAATAGATAAACAAACACATATAAATATTATATTATATATACTTATATATTTCAAAAAGCAGAAATTTTAGGGGTGAAAGTAGAGGCAGCCATGTTAGGACGAGATACTCTACCCTGCACAGGTGGCTTGCTGGAAACTCCCACCTGATCCCAAAGACTGACAAAGGGACAGTTGATACCAGTTATCTCTGGGTGGGTGCCAAGGACAGTTGATCAGACAGTGACCTAACCACAACTTACCTTCCTTGAAGCCCAGAAACAGCATTCCTTAGAGATGCACAAGAACATTTTCCTACCCTCTAATCTTCCTGATCTTTTCCATCAGCCCCTCTTCCCTTATATCTATCCCAAGCCTGTGTGTGGCAGTGGGCTCTAGCTGTCTTGCTGCACACCCCACCACAGGCTCTCTTTTCTGAATAAAGCCTGTGCTGATGTTGAACCTCTCCCTGCCTTTCCTTCCATGTCTCTCTTCAGTCTAACACACTGGGGCACTCAGGTTCCTACTGTCTTCTCTCATCTTCACACATTGAGACTCTTCCCCCTGGGCTCTTCCCATACATGCTGTCACCTGCTTCTCCTTCCTTCTTCATGGCAGATCCAGGGATATTTCTACACATAGGGCCCCAGGCTGGATATGACCTGACCTGTCTCTCACTCTTTTGTCTAATCCTTCTGTTAATTATTAACATAACGTATTTCTCTTCATTATTTTCAATCATGTTATTTTTTTAGTGGATTTATGTGTGTTAATAATTTCCCATGAGATTAGGCAGTTGTTAGTGCAAGAACACATGCTCAATAAGCAGAGACATTAACTAATTCCAGATAATTCTTCCTCCTCCTGATTCAAATCTGAGGTATGATGACTGCAGTTTTCCAATTCTCAGCAACTCCATGTGTGATCCACATGGATACTTTCTCATATCCTTACCACCATGACCTTGTGTTCATTCTGGAGACTTAGGATCTCAGTATTAATGATGGATGTTCCAGTCATCACACAAATATAGAAAAGGGAAAATGATGAAAAAAAACAGGACCTTTGTTTTCTTCACCAGAGTAACATTTCCCTGAGAAGAATTCCAACTGAATGAGTCTTTCTTCTGATGGTCATGTACTGAACTAATTGTTCAATTCTGGTAGCTTGGCAGATGGTGAATTGTCTGGATTTACAAGAAATAGCAAGACCAATGAAGAGGTTCATGCTGGTGGGAGACTTGGTGGAGACTTGAAACTAAGTAAATTTAATTGCGGGTCCATCAAGATGAGTGCCTCTTGACAGCAAGGCCATGTATTGATCTGTGGAATTCCCAGAAGTACATATGGTGAAGACCACATGTAAAATTATTGGATGTTTGTGGTCTGCTGTGACTTTGGTTCTGAGGGTAACAGTGCTCCCCATTGACTCTGAATCTGCAGATGGCACCAGTAAGAGTTAGTTTCTCATCTCTGGTTCCCCAAGTATGAGGACCTGGGGCCATTTCTGTGATCTTTCCCCAAGACAGGGAAAGGCAGGCAAATTCTGCAGGTGAGCACTGAATCCTCCTCCTAAACTAGTCATTCATATTTTCCTGTATTAACTAAGCTGCTCCTAATTGAGGCTCAGAATGGCAAGGGACAGAGAGAAACAGAATATCTTCCCCAGGAAAAAAAGTTCAAGGACAAATGAATCCCAGGCCTAAGCAAGGGTGCTCCTGAGCCTCAGGCAGCCAGTGTGGAGTGGCCACTAGGGTGCAGAAGAGACCACCTGACAAGGCCAGCCAGGCATGGATTTGACAAGGGCAGTAGAGGAATCTATTATAGAGTAGGGTTAGTGTCCAAGTACTGCCATATGAACTTCTCACATTACGCTATAGTGTAGATATTCCAGAGGCACCTGCACATCCATGTTTATTGCGGCACTATTCACAATAGCCAAGTTATGGAAACAGCCAAGATGTCCCACCACTGACGAATGGATTAAGAAAATGTGGTATCTATACACAATGGAATTTTATGCAGCCATGAAGAAGAACGAAATGTTATCATTCGCTGGTAAATGGATGGAATTGGAGAACATCATTCTGAGTGAGGTTAGCCTGGCTCAAAAAACCAAAAATCGTATGTTCTCTCTCATATGTGGACATTAGATCAAGGGCAAACACAACAAGGGGATTGGACTATGAGCACATGATAAAAGCGAGAGCACACAAGGGAGGGATGAGGATAGGTAAGACACCTAAAAAACTAGCTAGCATTTGTTGCCCTTAATGCGGAGAAACTAAAGCAGATACCTTAAAGCAACTGAGGCCAATAGGAAAAGGGGAACAGGTACTAGAGAAAAGGTTAGATCAAAAAGAATTAACCTAGAAGGTAACACCCACGCACAGGAAATCAATGTGAGTCAATGTCCTGTATAGCTATCCTTATCTCAACCAGCAAGGGCCCTTGTTCCTTCCTATTATTGCTTGTACTCTCTCTACAACAAAATTAGAAATAAGGGCAAAATAGTTTCTGCTGGGTATTGAGGGGGGGGAGAGGGAGGGGGCGGGGTGGGTGGTAAGGGAGGGGGTGGGGGCAGTGGGGAGAAATGAACCAATCCTTGTATGCACATATGAATAATAAAAGAAAAATGAAAAAAAAATAGAGTAGGGTTAGTGTCCAAGTACTGCCATGTGAACTTCTCACATTACGCTATAGTGTAGATATTCTCTCTTAAACTTGCAAACATGCTGGGGAATTATTTCACCATAGGCAAACCACTTATACTGAATCTCATTCAGTGTCACAGGTGTTTGATCAAAGGATGTGAGACCTTCCTTGAGTGAACTGGAAAATGAGGCAGGGCCCTATGGTTACCCTAATAGCTCAGAGAAAGAATAGTTTTATAGCACAATTGTGAATCTTGAAAATTTTTGCTCTCCATGCATTCCACTGTTTGTAAACCAAGGTGGAATTCTCTGACCTTTGCCATGCCTTACCAGCTAGGCAGCTAGGCAACTAGGCCAGGGCAGATTGTGTCTGAGATATTGCCCAAGTTATGGGCCCCACAGGTGACAGAGTTCTTCCTGGTTGAGGGTTTGTCTGTAGGTTCACCCTTTCCTCTCAATGTCTCCTGTTTAAAGCCCTGCCCTGGAAATTACAAAACTCCTGAAGTAGGCTATGAGTTCAGAGAGATTTGCATAAAAACCAGCTTCCTCTTGCAAGGAGATAAGAGAGGCCTGGGAGGAAGCCAGCCAGCTTGAGCCTCAGGGAGCAGCATGAGGACCTCTCCCACTATGGCCTGGACTCCTCTCTTCTTCGGCCTCCTCCTGCACTGTACAGGTCTTTCCCATACCCCACTGAGCCCAAAACCCAGCTCAGAGATGTGGAATTAGCCAGGTCATGACTCTGAGTTTAGCAGGGTCCTTGTTTGAGCCCTATGCTCAGAACCTGCTGAAGGATGGGGGCTATGCTGCTGAAGTCCCCAAATGTTCTCAATGGATTTTGGGAGCCACAGGAGCCACAGCTGCCAATAAGAGAGGAGAGTTCAGTCATGTGTTCAAAGGCTCCATCCTGTAGCCAGACTTATGGGGCACTGGGACTGGGTGTGGTCGATTTGATTGCCCCATGGGCCATGGAGTCTCTGCAGCTCAGACAGGTCAGGTGGGGGAGCGTGACTCATTGGAAAGTTACTTAATATTCAACCCCTCCTTTTCTCGCCTTGCAGACTCTGTAGCCTCTTATGTGCTGACTCAGCCATCCTCAGCGTCAGTGACACTGGGACAGACGGCCAGGATCACCTGTGGAGGAAACGGCATTGGAAACAAATATGTGCACTGGCACCAGCAGAAGGCAGGCCAGGCCCCTGTGCTGGTCATTATTATAGTAGTAACAGGCCCTCAGGCATCCTGGACAGATTCTCTGGCTCCAACTCTGGAAACACAGCCACCCTGACCATCAGCAGTACCCAGGCTGAGGATGAGGCTGATTATTACTGCCAGGTGTGGGACAGCAGCAGTGATGCTCACTGTGACACAGACACATGAGGAAATGAGACAAAAACTGGACACCAGCCTGGCTCTCACAGTCCCTCCCAAGTATGTTCACACTGACAGTAGCCTGCCTGACACATGGAGTGTAAGTTTCTAGTCTTATACCTTCCCTCATATTCTTGAGGTAGAAGGGATGGTTCTTGGACTTTGGCATGTCCCTGGTAACCTGAGTAGTTGTGTTTATTGACTTGAGCTCTTTTCTCTAGAAACAATAGAATCCCCTGTTATCACACAATTCTTGATTTGAAGTGGGATTATATTGTGACAGCAATTCACTTTTGGTATAGAAGTGGAAGGTAAGTGGATGGGTATAGGGTTGAAGGATGTTCACATGTGGACTTAGGCAGGTCTTTTAGGAAAAACTGACTAGAATTGTGTCACCTTGGTGTCATAATAGTGTAGGAATAGAGGAAACAAAAAGCAAGTATCTCAAAGTGGTTTGGATTAATAATTTTTTTATACTCCTTCAGGTGAGAACTTGGGGCTGTAAAAGTTTACCTGTATAATTGGTTTTCAGGAATATCCATAAGCAAAGAGGTACTTGGTTACTATTCACACCCTCATCTTCTTTGGAAGGAGTGCCCTGGTTCCAACTGTGAAGCTGACACAGGTGGTTTCAGCCTTCAGCACAAACAATGCTCATTGAATGATGAAAGTTGTCCTGGTAGAAGGAAGAGTGTGTGGCATTTCCAGAGGGAAACAGACACATGTTTTACTAGCAGGGCTGAGAGTAGCACTAGCAGTGCTGTTCTACAGCACACATTACCCCTCAGGTAGAAATGACTAACAAGTGTCCTCAATGGAGGTTCAGAGGTTGGGTCCAGATGTTGGAAATGGGCCTGCTTAGGTAAATGCCTGCTGGTCTGGTCAGGGTGTGGCTGGAATGGGATCCAGTCCCTTTTTTCCCAGCTCCTTCCCAGCAGCATCCTCAGTCTCAACTCTCCCTACTCAGGGCCCCTTTTCTCCATCAGCCTCCACCCTCAATTCCATGCTTTCCATGACTTAAACTCTTGACCCAAGGACTTCGCTCTCCACACATAGATTCCTCACTCTGTTCCACAATAGATGCTGCAGAGATGCCAGGCCCAGAGTCACAGGCTTAAACTTTGCTCCACATCTGACATGCAGGGATGCCTTGCGGGCACCATTGCAAACACTCCCAATGGGTTTCAGCTATATCCACAGCCAGGTTTGTGGAAAAAAACTACTTGAGCTCCCAGTAGACCTTCTCACATACTCTGAAATCATTTCACCTGGACTCTCTAAGAGACCTCATTTTCATCCCAATCTCACATAAAACCTCTAAGGTCATTTTCAATATCTCCATCTGATGACACTTATCTCTCCTTGGCTAAACCCTCTATGTGAATAATCATCCTTTGTAACCCAACTGGTAATGGAAGCTGTGCCTTCATTATTTGTAAGAATGTGGTAATTTATGTATAATTGAAATCTCAGAAATCAATTTGAATATGGAAAATTGAGTAGTATACAATCATATATACATTAACTTCTTCATTGTATGCTTCTAAAAGGGCCTAAATGTCACAAGAAATGATTCATCAATTTGATTTGCAAATAGTATTTAAAGTATTTGTGAAATTTGTTTTGATGTATTCCATATTTCTCATGCAAAACTGGACCCTCCACCTTTGTGCTATGGGCAGAATAAAACTGTGGTTTCTGTATAGTTGGTGAGGCCTGAAAACAGGCCTGGAATGGCTGATCTGGGACCATGGAGAACAGCACAACTTTGGTACAGCTCTGTTAGTCCTGAGTATGGATGTTGTTATTGGAAGACAAAGGAAATGAGACCAGTCTACTTGTGTGCTCAGGGGGTGGAGCTCTAAGGAATGTCCACTGTGGCTAGCATCCCTCTCTTGCTCCCCTCTTCTGCTCCTGCCCTTACACTCTACATAGGTGTCCTGCTCACATCCTGAGAACAGGCTTTATCTTCACTGGACCATATGAATGGTCTGGACCCAGAACTCAGCTTACAGATGCTGTATGGGTCCTAAGAATGAGTCCCATAATTCCTGAACCTGTAGGACCTTACTTGTCCTATGCTTCAACTCTCCTCAGTAGAGATGGCCAGTAAAATCTAAAAAAAATTCTGTCACCAACTTACTTGAGACAAAGGAGTAGCAACAGTTCAGAGAGAATCAAAGTTGCTAGCCCAGGTCCTGGAGTCTGCTCTCCTTCTTTCATAGATATCCCAGGAAAGCTGCTCAGTACAGGGTCTGTTTCTGTTTACAGGAAAAGCCTCCCCAGTTCTGAATGAACAGAAAATTCAAGTTCATCAAATTGCCTGCCTAGGATGGTGTAGAACTCTTACAATTGAACCTCGGAGGAGGATGTGATGAAATAAAGATGATGGTAACATAAAAGGTGATGATGACCGAGGTAATCTAAGTACAATTTGAGCTTCAGTGACACAGACTTCAGGCATCACCTGTGACATTACGGCAGCCCTTTCTTGGGGATGGGGAGCATAAGATTTGGGTTCTGTATATATGAGGAGACTGTGACCCAAACCACACCACACACTTTTAGTTTCTTGTAAAAGAGTTGCATTTAATCCAGCAAAGAAATCCATTTCTTTTAAGGCAAATCACAAAGGTCAGAATAGTGTGTTTTAGCCCTCGGACTGTGTTCACACCTGGAACTGTGCTACTTCCCAGCACACCACTCAGGAAACATTTCTGTGCTGTGTGGCAGGGCCATGTAGACACAATATTAGAGTGAGGCTAGCCCCTGTTCACACTATCTCATGTGACTGAAGCTTTGTGTAACTTGGGAGAGCAAAGCTATAGTTGAGTCTTTTCTACCAGCAGGGGGCAGCAGAGCTGCAGTCAGTAGCATCAGAGGATAAGCTGGTCGCTCAGTGGTAGGCTAATAGGGAATTCAGCCCTGAGGTCATGAAGCATCCAGGAAACCCTTAGGTTAGAGCCAAGGACAGGTCAACCTACATCCTGAGAGTTCAGACTCACAGAGTGTCAACCCAAGACAGTGGCAGGAGCCCTACACAGTGAGGGCCAAACTTCAAAATGCTCCTGGTCCCAGGTGTCATCCTGGGCACCTTCCACATTTCTAGGAGGCACTGGAAGATAACTTCATGAGCCTTTGCCCAGGGAGGAAGTTCAGTGTATAAAACTGGTGCTCCAAGCCTGTGTTCTTCACCACTATGTTTGCCTGTGCTTCCTGGTCATCTCAGGGCACCATCTCTAACTGTCCAGCACTGCTCACTGGCTGACCCCTCTGTGCTGGGAACTTTCTGAGATGCATGTGTTCTCTTCTCTCACCTACAGTCAGGTTTTCCCTGGCTTCAGCCTTGGATCCATCACTCACAGCTTCCTTGAGGAGCCTCTGTATACTGACCTAGTCTCACCTGCCTCAGCTCACAGCTCTGGCCATGGGGTTGCCCTTATTTTAGTGACAGGATCCTCCTGGTTACATGGATCCTTAAATGCCCACCTTCCAGTTCTCAATGAAATGAAACTAGAAATTGTGAAGTATCCACAAAGGACGGTTGTGTTTCAGCAAAGAAAATGTGAGAGCTGAAATGATTTTGTAAAGTCCTAAATACACAGGACTGAATCCTTCCAAAATGACCATGGTAGAACAAAATTTCACCTAATGGAACCAGAGAGGAAAAAAGGAGGGAGAGAAGCTGTCTATGGTCCACTGCCTGCGGAGTCTGGGGTCATGAGGGCTCTCTCAGATGGCCCAGTGTTGCCTATGGTCAGGCTCCTGGAAGGTCAGAAGCTAGCTGAGCTGGGCCCAGGGCTCATTATAGCACAAGAGATTTGTGACAGAGGACATGGGATCCATCCTTGGAAGGTGACAGTGTCCAAAGCTGGTTTTCTCCCCAAGGGAGCAACTGAAGGAAGTTGGATTCCACATCTCCTCCTCAGGCTCATGTTCTACCCTTACAGTTGGGAAGAATGTAAACCATTAAGTCTCGAAGTGGAGCCCAAGGGGAAGAGTGACTTTTTATAATCAAGCAGTTACTGCTGCTAGGTACCTGCAAGTGAATAAGAGGGACATGGGGGAACCCAGCTATGCTGTGGAACCCAGCACACAGAATTCTCTGGCATCTCCACCATGGCCTTGACCCCTCCCATCTTCCCCATTTTCTCCATCTCCGCAGGTGACCTTCTGTCTCCCAGTTCATCCACTAGAGGATCCTGATTTAAGCCTGCCACAACCCAGAGCTCCTGGAGGCTACTGAGTGCAGGGCTGTCTCTTCATCATGTGGAATTCCCAGGAGAGCATATGGTGCAGAACACATTGGTTCTGAAAAAATAATGGTTGTGGATGGTCTGTCTGTGACTTTGGTTTTGTGGGTAATGATGCCCCGTATTGTCTCTAAATCTGCACTTGGAACTAGCAAGAGGCAGTTCCTCATCTCTGGTTCCCTAAATATGAGGACCTGGGGCCATTTCCATGATTACTCTCCAAGGCAGGGAAAGTAGGGCAAATGCTGTGAGTGAGCACCGAATCCTCCTCCAAAAGTACTCATTCATATTTTCCTGCATGAATTAAGACACTAGCTTCGAGATGACAATCTCAAGGGACACTGAGAAGCAGAACATCTTCCTTGAGGACATCATGTCAAGGAAAAATGAATCCCAGACTGAGCAGCATGTTCTGAATCTCCACCTGAACCAGGGCGTTCCTGATTCTCCTGCAGCCAGTGTGCAGCACCCACTAGGGGGCGGCAGCGACCACCTGACGAGGCCATGTAGGGATTGACTGGACAAGGGCAGCAGAAGAATCTACTATAGAGTAGGGTTAGTGTCCAATATCTGAGTACCAATAAGAAAACAAGGATTCTCCTACATTATCCTTGACATTAAAATAGAAAATCTCTGAATTTCTCACGTATGCTGCATTTGTAGAATTTCTCTCTCAATCTTGCAAACCTACAGGGTATTCATTTTAACATAGGCCACCATTGATGTTGAACACATATCCGACTATCAGATGGTGTTTGATGATAGGGTGTGAATCCTTCCCCAAGCAAACTAGAAGGATGAAGCAGAGCACGTATGATTTACATAAAAGCTGACAGAAAGGATACAGATTTATAGCACAATTGGGGATCTTGAAAATTTTAGTGGACATTTTATTCCCATCATACATTCCATCATTTGTGATCCAGGGTGGCATTCTATGACCTCTGCATGGCCTCACCAGCAATGCAACTAGACCATGGAAGTTTGTGTTTGACATGTTTCCCAATATCTCAAACTGAGGCCCTGCATGTGACTGAACTCTTCTTGGCTGAGGTGTCTCTGTAGGTTCCTCTTTCCCTCTCTGTGTCTCCTGGCTTGAGTACTGCTCTGGACACTACAGAGCTCCTGCAGTAGGCTATGAGTTCTGAGAGATTTGCATAAAAGGCAGCTCCCTCCTGCAAGGATATAGAGAGTCCTGGGAGGAAGCCAGCCAGCTTGGGCTTCAGCAAGAAGAATGAAGACCTCTGCCACTATGGCCTGGACTCCCCTCCTCTTCAGCCTCCTCCTGCACTGTACAGGTCTTTCCCAAAACCCCACCAAGACAGCAACCCAGCTCAGGAATATGGGATTAGCTAGGCCATGGCTCTGTGCTCCGTAAGGCCCTCATTAGAGCACTATGCTCAGAACCTCCTGAAGAATGGGGGCTGTGCAGCTAAATCCCAAATGTGCTCAATGGGTTTTGTGAGCCTGAAGAGTTACAGCTGCCAATAATGAGAGGAACACTCAAGTGTTCAAAGGCTCCATCTTGAAGCCAGGCTTACTGGGCACTGGGACTGGGTGTGGTGCCTTTGATTGCCCTATGGGCCATGGAATCTCTGCAGTTCATTCAGGGCAGATGGGGGAATGTAACTCATCAGAAAGGGACTTAATATTCAACCCATTCTTTTCTCTCCTTGCAGGCTCTGTAGCCTCTTATGTGCTGACTCAGCCATCCTCAGAGTCAGTGACACTGGGACAGACTGCCAGGATCACCTGTGGAGGAAACAACATTGGAAATAAAAATGTGTACTGGTACCAACAGAAGACAGGACAGGCCCCTGTGCTGGTCATTTATTATAGTAGTAACAGGCCCTCAGGCATCCCGGACAGATTCTCTGGCTCCAACTCAGGGAACACAGCCACACTGACCATCAGCAGTACCCAAGCTGAGGATGAGGCTGATTATTACTGCCAGGTGTGGGACAGCAGTAATACTGCTCACAGTGACACAAACACATGGGGAAGTGAGACAAAAACCTGTCACCAGCCTGGCTCCCTCCCTGCTATGTCCACACTGATAGTAGCCTGCCTGCCACATGGAGTGGGAATTTCTAGTCCTGCACCTCCCCTCCTGTTTTTGAGAGATGGTGAGGGTGGCAGACAGTTTCTGGACTTTTGGAGGCTCAAGTAAGTAATTGCATTGTAATCCAAGTTGTTCTTATTTATTCACTTCAGTTCAATATTCTAGAAACCACAGGTTACCTGTTTATCACACAACACTGGGTATGAATCAGAATTCCATTGTGTCAGAAACTCACTTAAAATACAGAACAGGAATGTAAGTGAATGGGTATATGGTAGGAGGATAAACACCTGTGGACTTAGGCAGGACCTTTAGGAAAACACAGCCTGGAAAGGGTCACATTAGTGTCGTACTGGCTTACAAATGAGAGTCACAAAAAGACAAGTGTCTCAAAGTGGTTTGGATTAATAGATTTTGTTTATATCTAGTTCGTTCTCCAGGTGAGAATTGGGGTCTTAAGGTTAATGAACTTTACCTGTATAATTGGTTTTCAGGAACATCCTGAAGCAAAAAGAGACTTAGTTACTATTCACACCCTCATCCTCTTGGGAAGGGGTGCCTGGTTCTAGTAGTGAAGCTCACACATGTGGCCTCAGTCTTAAGCACAAATAGCATTGTAGGATGACAGTGACCATGAGAGAGGGAATTGCATGTGACATTTTCAGAGGGAAACAGACCTGTATGTTTTCCATTGTCATGCCCAGAGGTGCTGTGTCAGATAGCCCAGTTTCAGAATTGGGGTAGAAATGACAAACAAGGTCCTTTATGTTAGGAATGGGGCTGATTGAAGAAGTTGGAAATGGGCCTCTTCAGACACATGCCTGCCAGGCTGAGTCAGTGTCTGAGAGGAAAGGACCCCTTCTGTCTCCGCTCCTTCCTAGCAACATCCCCAGTCTCCTCCCTCCCTCTGTAGGCCCCTATGTCCATCACACTCACTGCCTCCTTCTCTCTTTGTTTTCCCTTCCTTTGTCTCCTGCCCCCAGGATTCCCCTCTGCATACCTGGAACACATCCTCTTCTCCATGCCAGGCCCTGAAGAGGAAGCCAGACCCAGAGTCACAGCATTAGCT